CTTAGTTTGTTGAAATTACTACAAGACTCGCCTCTCGGCCTTTTGGCTAAGATCAGGTGAAATTACTACAAGACACCAGTGACTTTAATTGCCAAATTTAGAAAACAGACTCCTTTATTTGGATCTACTTGCCAATTTTTACTGCTTACTATTTCTGGAAACTCATTAATGTAAATTCTTGGCACTACCTGGCAATGAAGATTTTTTTTTGTTTGTTTGTTTTTTTATTTTATTTGACAGAGAGAGATCACAAGTAGGCAGAGAGGCAGGTAGAGAGAGAGGAGGAAGCAAGCTCCCTGCCGAGCAGAGAGCCCGATGCGGGGCTCGATCCCAGGACCCTGGGATCATGACCTGAGCCGAAGGCAGAGGCTTTAATCCACTGAGCCACCCAGGCGCCCCGGCAATGAAGATTTTTATGCAAGTGAAAAACTTTAGCATAAGGCCTAAAAAACTTTAAAAATTTGGGGGACCTGGCTGGGTCGGCGGGGTAAGTGGCTCTTGGTTCCATCTCAGGTCGTGATTTCACAGTCCTGGGATAGAGCTCCATGTTGGGTTCCGTGCTCAGTAGAAAGTCTGCTTGAGGATTCTTTCTGTCTCCCTTTGCTGTCCTCCCCGCAACCACCACTGGCACATGCGTGCTCTCAAACTTTAAAAACTTAAAAATATAATTTTTCTTTAAATATATGAATTAGAATTTATAAGGTAATATACATTTATTATAGAAAATTTAGAAAATATTTTTTTTTATTTATTTATTTGATAGAGATCACAAGTAGGCAGAGAGGCAGGCAGAGAGAGAGGGAGAAGCAGGCTCCCTGCTGAGCAGAGAGCCCGATATGGGGCTCAATCCCAGGACCCTGGGATCATGACCCAAGCAGAAGGCAGAGGTTTTAACCCACTGAGCCACCCAGGAGCCCCGAAAATATAGATATTTCTGTGAGGCACGATGATATTGGTAAATGCCTGGGCTCTAGAATCTTCAGTCTGGATTAAAATCCTGCCTCCATCATTTACTCCTGGCTCTGACCTTGGTCAGGTTATGTATGCAACTTCTCCTTCTTCTTTTCCCTCTCTGTAAAATGAGGACGAAGACAGTATTTGGTCCAATTGTAAACATCAAATGAGAAGTTTTACATGAGATAATGTATTAGAAGATCCGCCACAAAATAAGTGCTCAGAAAGTGTTGGATATCACCCTTTTTTCCTTTCTTTGATGCCTAAATGTAACTAGGAACATTGGTAACTTTACTCTCCAGTAATATAAGAAAGTCCTGAGGGTTATTATAAGATGTGTATATATGCAGTTGGTTGGATTTTACAGAATTTGTCTCTGTTCTGGTCGCCATTTTGCTGTTGACTCTTAGGAAGTCCCTTGCTAGGTACTAAATAACTTTGACAGCGTTGTGTAGTAGAAATAGGCTGTATTTGAAGGCTGGAGTTTTCTCCTAGAATTCATGAACCTTTTAATGAGAACAGGACCAAAAAAAAGAAGAAAAAAAAAGCCCAATGGGCTTGGAATATTTTGGCTGAAGGGCTGTATCATGACATTTTACATTCCTTCAGAGTTTTACCAATGTCAAAGAATTGGTACATTTATCTCAAGTGACAAAGTCAGAGTTAGGTAGAGGATACTCTGTTTAAATAGTATTGAATTCGGGCTCAGTGGGTTGGGGCCTCTGCCTTTGGCTCAGGTCATGATCCCAGGGTCCTGGGATCGAGCCCCGCATTGGGCTCTCTGCTCAGTGGGGAGCCTGCTTCCTCCTCTCTCTGCCTACTTGTGATCTCTGTCAAAAAAAAAAAAAAAAACTTTCAATAGTATTGAACTGAATCTAAAGTAGGCAAACATCCTATAAGGTAGCAGATGGCAGGGTATTATCCCCATTTGTCTTTTAAGGTAACCTGTGTGCTGGTCGTCTTCATTATCAGTGTCATCCGACAAACCTCCCAGAATGTGAAAGTAACATCACTGTGTTTTCATTGCTCTGTCTCATTGGTGGGTACAGCAACGAGGAACGTTGTCCTTAGGGGTGCAGGCCCTTCTGCGGTATTATCTTTGGCTCTTGGAATTGTCCCACAGGGAGAGAAGGTGCTTGGGCATGTGCGTGGGCACCTGCTGCTGGATTATGCAGATTCTCTTGGGCAAATGGCTTTTATCTTTATCTAAGCTCAAATTACATCTTCCTTCCTGAGTTAACTCTCCCCAGTTTCCCCCCAAGCACTGGGCACAGTGGAAGAGAACATGGAGGGCATTAGGAGAAAACTCAGCTGTGCACAGTGTGTTATAAGAACTTGATAAATGTTGATGGATTAGTTCAATGTTAAAAGGAGTTAATAATGGTAAGGACTTAAACTAGAGGAGTTCATACCTCGCATATCAGACTGATATTCTTCTAATATACTTCACACATTAAAAATAAAGTCCCAGGACTTTTAAACTTAAGCAGATAGCTCTCTGAGAAAGGATCCCAGGCCCCTTGCTTGCTTAAGTGTGGTAGAAGTCAAATGATGTTTAGCTCAGGTGTGGTAGAAGTTCAATGATGTTTACAGCTTCAGCTTTGATAAAAACAAAACAAAAAAACACTGATCTCAGGGAGTCAAATCCAGTGGGAAGAGACTTATCTTCTCCTTTGTGTTCCCTTGAGGATACACGGTATGAAGAAAGCACTGGTAAAAGTCTAAGGTCAAGAAGAATGAATGATTGCAGCTTTAAAATGACAATACCTGATCCTGCTGTTCATCCCCTGCTTAAAAATCTCCAGTTGCATTCTCTTCACCGGATGGTATGCAGATACCTCAGTAGGCTGCCCTCAGGGTCCTTGAGTAGCTGCACTTTTGTTGCACTTCCCTGCATTGGCCCAATGGTCTTCTTTTGTTGCTGACAGAGACCTCCTCATGCTTACAGACCCAGGTTATAGGTTTTCTTGGTGCCCTTAATCCAAAGTTGCTCTCCCCCTGCTCCCAGGGCATTTTGTGAACTTACAAGAGCAAATGTCAACACATTACAATAAATTAGGACTCTTTACCATTAGCCAGGGATGGGAAATTAAACTTTCTGTCTTTGTATCTCTCCTAGTGCCTACCAGGCATCCAGTCAGGTCTTCAACCTCATTTACTGGATGGGAAGTCCCTCAAAGTACTATTAGTTAATCATCCCATGTTCTCCTACCTTGCCTCTAACAAAAGTTCCACTGTTCTGGTTATTTTCATTTTACAAGTGATTTGTTTCCTTTCTCTACAGGCAGCATAATTCGTTGTATGAGGCGCCTGGAAGAACTGCTTCGACAGATGTGTCAAGCAGCAAAAGCCATTGGAAACACTGAGCTGGAAAACAAATTTGCAGAAGGTCGGTATCTAGTCTGTGGCCCTTTTCTAATCATTAAGGCAAATCTTTTGAGACCTGAGTTCTTGGCCATAACATAGGAAGACATTTTCAGATGCTCTTCACTGGAATGCCATGGAGGGCCATCTAGTAGTTTTTGTTTTGTTGTTGTTTTTTTTTTTTAGTAGTATTTAAATAACATTTTAGAGTGTCTCTCTGGGAAAAAGTTTCAAGATTTTTTATATAATCATTTATAAATATTTATTGTGTGCTATGTGCAGCATGGTTTTAAGCACCAGGGGATACAGCAGTGAACAAAAAAACCACAAACCCCTGCCTTCATGGAGCTTACATTCTAGTATGAGGAGACATAAAATAAGTCAACAATTAAAGTATTTCAGGTGGTGCTAAGTCTATAGTAAGAAAGGAAGAGACAATAGGAATTGAGGGATAGAGGAGATGGGCTAGGGCCCCCACTCAGAAGGTGGTATTGAGGCCCTTCACGTATGCCTGATAGATGTAAGCAAGAGCCAAGAGACCAATGTGGCTAGAGCAGAGTGAGGAGTAGAATAGTAGGAAGGAGAAAAGAGATGATCCTGTTACCCCTCAGCCCCTGGCTTTTTTGTGAAATGATTGGAGGTTTGACTACAGGAGTGGAGTGCTCTGGCAGTTCTTTGCTGTTGCATTGTAGGGAAGTCTGCAGATTAGCAAGGTGGAAGCAGGAAGACCAGGAAAAACCAGATGGCCAGTCCAAGGTGGTAGTAACTAGAGGCAGGCAGGGGGCCGGAGGGAGTATATAACCTGCTTACAGTTTGTTCCGTCTGAATATTTGCCAAGAAAAAGGGCTGTGAGTTAATACATTAAAGAATAGCAGCCAGCCACCTTGTCGCTCTGAGTTAGTTATTCATATAGTCACAATCCCTAATGATTTCTGCTAACCAGTGTCCTCAAAGGTGTGCAACAACTGGGTACTGTTTCCATATGGTTGATGGGGCAGGCCTATTTAATCAGCCAGAGTTTAGTTATGTAAACTTATTAAATAATAAACTTTGTCCTGCCTTAGTTCAGAAAGAATCTCACGTGGTAAGTGAAAATAAAGTGTCTCCTGGAATAGGCTGAAAATTCATGCTTTGGGGTCAGCTAACTGCCTTCGACGGTTTAGTCCTTTCTTCAGTGAGTCTTTGTGCATAGTCTGAGACACGGTCTCAGCCCTGCGCGCACACACACAGACAGGGTACTACCGAGTCTAGGGTCACAAGAGTAGGAGTCTGGTTTCTAAGTTACCCTGCTCTTCTCTTAGACCAACAAGGCTTTGTGTCATCAGGATTGTTGTATTAAAACCCCACCAGAGGGGAATTACAATCTTTGTGATCTTGGAGGTTTAAACTGTCTTTTCTTTTCTCTTAGGAATCACCAAAATCAAGAGAGATATTGTGTTTGCTGCCAGCCTCTACTTATAAAGAATTAGCTAAACGAATGTGGGATTTTAAATTTTTCACCACCTGATTACAGTTGACTACAAATGCTTACAGAAATGTTGATTTGGTTCTCCCATTTCAAGGCAGTTGTACTCAGACATTTTAATATGTATTATACTTCAATCAGGCATCATCCAAAGAAAGCATATTACATACACATTTGTACATAAGCATTACATTTTTTTTAATAAAAAATGTACAGGTGGGCATTGTTTTAGTGAAAGGCTTGAAATTTTTTTTTTTTTTTAATGAACTTAGAGCTATTAGAGAACCACTGTGTTAAATGTAACTATATACACACAGGTAAAGTGGGCATCCAAGAGGTATAGCAGCAGCAGTCCCTTAAAGGCTTGTATACCATGAAGAAAACTCATCCTCTTGTCTTCTGGTTGCAATCATTTTCCTTTAGAAAGCAGGCCAGCTTCATCTGGGCACTCTGCTACCTTCAAGGTTGGTGACTGTTCCTAAAGTGATTCCCTGTTGTTGGTGTTTCATGCAGAGTTGTATGGGAGTCCTCCTCTTTCCTTTCTTTAAAAGAATTTCTGTTCTTGAAGAAATCGGCTACATACACTGCCTACAGAAAACAAGTTATACTTAAATTACATCATTAAATACTTTTGTCCCATTCTCAGTTTAAAAACCATATACACAGTTGGAACAGGCAGTTGGCAAAAATAAAACCCTATCACAATGAAGGGGTACCAAAAAAAAGGGGGGGACTAACAGAGTTAGAAAAAGATGGTTTTAAATTGAGAGTTGCTTAGTTAGGTCTTGAGTAAATAGATTTACTCTGTTAGCACTTAGGTTATTCTGCAATTCATACCAAAATGAAACTAAACACTATAGCAGTAGCCTTTTACAAAAGTACATTTAGTTAAGATTTTTGTAACTTTTGGAAAGAGCAACATAGTTAATAACATCGAGTGATTACCCAGTAAAAATTACTGAGCCACATTATCTGCCTTTGGATAGTTTTCTCCCTGGGACAGGATTTCTACTTACTCCTCCCAGTGTTCATCAGTATCTAGCTGTAGGCTGCTGCCCTGTATACTTACAACTAATACCGCAACCAGGGCTCCTTGAATGAGTCCAGTCAGTACATCGCTCCAGTGGTGTTTGTAGTCAGAAACTCGAGAGAGGCCCACATAAATGGACACAGCAACAAGACCAAATTGCAGTGTGGGGCGTAAGAGTCTTGCCCAGTCTCCCTTCATCCTGGCTTGAAGGTAAAGCTAATAGAGAAGATAGGAATAAAGAGAAGAGCTCAACATACCAACTGGAAACTTTATACATTTTAAGTATCACCACACCCCGAAAGGGTTGGTGTTTTACATGAACAAGTCATTATATATTAATAACCATCACTATTAATAACCATTAACTAATCAGAGTATAAGTTCTACATAGAACAGGACTTTAGGCAAGCATTCTTCTGTTCATCTTCTGTTCATCAACACCTGCAACTTAATCCTTTTAAATAAGCCAAACAAAAAGTGATTGCCCCAGAAACTTGTCTTTAGAACAGTTCATTACTTTCCCTGTCTAGATGACTATTCAAACTGTAAACATGGCAAGGGGTGTCCATGTTCAGGACTTCCAAGGATTTCAAGGGCAGCTTCTCCTCTTGCATCTGTTGTAATTCTGATTCACAGCCAAGTGTTATCCTTAGTCTTGGGACAAACTGCTAGCATTCTGAGCATAGGGTGTCTTTACCCTGGGCCCAGCTGCTATGTTTTCCGCCCAATCTATCTAGAGATTGAGTTTGTTTAATTGATTCAATTTACTCAAGAGTTCTGCTCACCTCAGGTTATTTTAAAGGGCAGTGGAGACTACATAATCTGTATTTTAAGTAAATCTAATACTCTGCCTAAATAATACAGATTCTAGTTGAGCCCTGACCCAACAGTGAATTAGTCTTTGATTAGCACCTGTGCTCTGTAATCTTTTAAGTTCCATGACTTTTCCCTGTACTCATCAAACTTGAGAATTTCCCCTTTTCTGTGTCAGCCTGCCTTTGACTTGGGTGCATCTCTAAAGACTGTGATGCAGAAGGGTTTGGATAGTTTTCCTATCATTTTCTTTCAGCAAATCTGGTCTCTTTAAAAAACAAAACAAAAAATTTTTTTGCCTTATTTCTATCTAATAAGAATATGGTTTTAAAATATATTTTAAAACTTCTGTTTGGTAATTTGTGACTCATAACAATTAAATGGATTCCAACAATTTATGAATGGCTATGCCCATAGACACTGCCTACTTGAAATAGATATACAGATCCATTCCCAGTTGTTTGTGCACTGCTGTGAGCAAATACTCAGTTCTCAGCAGCTGGCAAAAACTCAGAGATTGTCTAATTTTATCGAGTGTTTTATAGTAGAAACATCTAATTGTAAAAGAGCATACCAGCTGTTCAATTGAATTGTACTTGTTAGCTGGTTAAAGTGCTCCTGGCTTTCTGCAGAGCCTCTCCTTTCCCTTTTTGTTGTTGAAACTATAAAAATGTAAACAGTAAGAGGCTTGTCTCAAGTTCTGAAGTTGGGGAAATAAGTTGGTTCTGGCTGAAGAAAAGTTTGCATCTGGAACTGAAGCCAGTTAGGTAACACAACCATGCCAGTAACATTCCCCTCACTAGGTTCTATCTTCATTGGAAATGTTTTATTCTTTTAAAGAGAATAGTACTTGGACTGGGGCTGAAGCCAAGTTTTGGATGTTACTCCCCAAAAGTTCAGCTGTCCCTCTTTTGATTATTTAGCTGCCTTTTCATATATCTGTTAAAAGCATGGGTTCTTCAGACTATAAAATTATATACCTATGAATTATAAATACTTACATGAATGCACCTTAGGGAAAACTGCACCTATCTCTGTTAAGGACATAGCATGAAAGAAACAATACCAACTGTAAAATGGATTTACACTTAGTCCTAGTTTGTGCTTCCAACCCAAAGAAAACTCAGGACTTTGAAGGTCCTTCCTCACTTAGGCTTCTAAAATCCTTCTGACAGTATTTTCCTTCCAGAGACCCTCACTTTAGGTAGCTTGCCCCCAAATTCCTCAACATCCCTGTGAAAAGAATTAGCATTCACTTATGGACTAGTACCCAAGCTTCCATGTACTTTAGGTGAAACCCTCACCCTTCTAAGTAGCTAGTTTCTCCTTACACATCTACCCAAGTATAGATGTTACCCTCTTCTCTCGCTACCCAGAGATGATTTCACCCTGAGGGGCTACTAGGAATCCCCCCATTGTGGTTTTACCCCTAACCTTATCCTCCCCTCCAGGCTCTGGCTCTTCTGATGACTAACGGCCATGGTGTGTATGCAGGCTGTGGTCACAGAACAGTTCTCAGCTCTAGGTGAGACGGACTAACTGGGTGTGCTTCCTGCTGTTTCCTTGAGTCCAAGATACTCAGTGTAGCTCTGGGAAGACCAGGTATCACGACAGCCCTGTTCGTCGCTGTGAAGAATCCTCCATTTCAATAGATGCCACGGAGCGAAACATACTGAGTTTCCTGGACCTTGGACCACTTGAGTTCCACAGCGGACATGCCCACAACTCCAGACATGGACAACTTTCCTCCCACGCTGCCAGCCAGAAGTCTTTTCCTCCATCAGCAGCTTCAGCAGAGTAGACAGTGTTGTCTTTCTGGTGGCTCTGCGTTAAGCCTTTCCCGGGTTCTGCAGTGCAGATCTTTTAATACCTCACCCTCTGGAGGCACTAGAGATTTGACTTCTTCTACCACTCATTTAACTCCTTCCCAAAATCATTACCTCTTGCCTGTTCTCTCCTTTTCCATTCTTTCATTTTGTGGATTATCACTTTTTTTTTCTATTCCTTGTCCTTTAAGAGGAAGGAGGACAGACAGTGTATGTACCTTTAAAAAATAAGACTCTATTGAGGGAAGTCTATGTTCATAACTGTCTCAGAGCAACAGTGTTGGAAGCTCTCACCACTGTTCTACTAGAACTAGATACAGGGACAGAACTCCTGCTTTAATGCTAAAGCTTATAATAAAAAGGCTCTGTAAGTCCCTGCCTTTGAAAACTCCACTCTCCCCACCTTCCCCACACATGCATTTGCTAATCACTTAAGCACTGAACACATCCACGTAAGGAAGTCAGTTGCTTCTCTCTTAAAACTCAGAAGAGCTAAGGAACTCTACACCCGGTGTTTTGTACGGTTTGGGACAGACTCAGTGGCAGTGTCAGTGACTTACAGATCCCCTCCTGGGGGAACCCTTCTTCCACAGACACAGTTGGAGGGGGAGCCCCATCCGGACCACACTGCTCTGCCTTCTCTTTACAGAGGGCACTGAAGATGACCTATGACAGGCCTGATCCAGAGATCCGCTAGGCTGGATTCTCCCTCTGGAATTTGCAGAAGGATGAACGAGTTCTCTTTTTTCCAGAATGTATAGAAAGAGCGCCTACAGGGTACAGGATAGGCTACCTGCAAACTAAACTTACAAGGAAGCAAAAGCTATGGTTAGACAAGGACAGCAAGCCATGACGAGAGATCAAAAAATGGAGCAGAGTGGCAGCCACACCAAAAAGCCAGGCGGCCAGTGAGACAGGCGGACCAAGTCCAGTTCCTGGTGGTGTGCTAGTTCTAGCCCCTCTGTGTCTTCACTGTAAACTGTTTTGGGGGCACCTGAGTGGCTCAAGTCAGTTAAGTGTCTGACCCTTGATTTTGGCTCAGGTCATAATTTCAGGGTCCTATAATCAAGCCTCACCTGGGACTCCCTGCTCAGCAAGTCGGCTTGTCTCCTCCTCCCTCTGTCCCTCCCCCTGCTCATAAGCATGTGCACGCTCTCGCTCTCCCTCTCAAACAAATCTTAAAACACAGACCTTTTTTTCCTCTGGGAGATGAGTCAGTTGCTTACAACCAAAAGATAAAGTGCCAACTACTAGCTACCTCTGTGTTTAATCAGAATCCCATTTTTTTTTTTCTTAATTTGGATTTCTGGAACTTGAATGATGAGTTTTACTTTTTAAAAAGGTAAGTTTCAATTGGGAAGGAAAATAGTATTTATACACCAGTGTTCAAACTGTGAGAAAAACTTGAAAAACATAATCCCATGGGAACAAACATTAAATGTCTACTGAACAAGAGCATTCTGGTAGTGGGCATGGGATTTACTTCCATGACTTCTTTCTACGTACAGTACAAGGTGTGCACCGCTACCCTACCCTAAGCCAAAAGTGGTTCATCTACCCATCTCTATCATTCTCTCAGGGCCATTTTAAGATTCTTTTCTGAGCATGCTTCAATTTGGCTTCAACTGACCTGCCCCATGGGGATTTTGGTCCACTGGTGGACAGAGTACTGCCTAGTGAGAAATTCTAGTCTCTGGATCCCTCCTGATCCTAATATCCAACCTTCTGGTGAAAGAAACAACAAAGCAGAAAGTTCCCAACTACAAATAAGAGAAAGGGTAGAAAAGGCAGAACCGAAGCAATAATGTGCAGCTGGTCACTGAGGTACTCGCAGAGGCAAAACGAACAGTCAAGTTTGTGAAAGGAACAACTGAGCCTACCACTAATGTCATCCCTGCTGTTAAAGGAAAAGTCAAGAGGCATGTGGGGTTCCAGCAGGCACAAACTGAGAATAAAGTTAGCAGGAAAAACAAAGTACCATCATATACTTTACTAACCTTTACACTGCTCTGCCCACTTTTTCATCTATTAGAGAGGCAGGATAGACACCTACCACAGGAGAACTTGGAGAGCAAATTAACCACCTCCAGGCCTCTCGATTTCTCCGTCTCCAGCAGGGGAACCATTATCTTCGTGACCAGACGGTACATCAGAGCCAGAGCTCAGGGCAAATCAGATACAACCAGTGACTGCACATAGCCCAGATTTAGAAAGCAAAAACTAGTTTGGTAATTAGCCTTGGGGATAATCCACCAATATCCTCCAGGAATGTCCTCACTAAAACCAGGCATCAATACTGAGGCTTATGAAAAGGAAGGTTCCAGATTTAGTTTTTCCTTCCAACAAAAGCAAACTGAGCAAGGGTAGGCCCTTAGCCACTCTTCCGCATCAGGCTTCTGATCAGGAAAATACAACTGCTCAATGTAGGGTAAGTGTCCAGTCTCTTTAAAAAGAAAAGTCCAGGGGCGCCTGGGTGGCTCAGTGGGTTAAGCTGCTTCCTTTGGCTCAGGTCATGATCTCAGGGTCCTGGGATCGAGTCCCGCATCGGGCTCTCTGCTCAGCAGGGAGCCTGCTTCC